TCTTCAAAGTTAGTGATTAGAAAAATTGTGTGAAAAATAAACTGGAAGCTTATGTCGGGATGTAGGTGCGTTTTTAAACCCGCAGTTTAATATTATTGTCGGTTACAAATGGTTTTCGATAATTAGAAGACGACCTTTCCAGGGCCATTTAGTGTTCATAAACTTTTACCGTAAGGGCATGTGCAAAAGGAACAGGTTATACTTTGAAGCAATAACAAGTACTTCTGTTTATTTAAAAGTGACCTTTTACGACATTTTCACATTAATATTAATTTTAAAAATTAATAAAAATGATATTTTCAGGATTTATTATTTTACACGCAACTATATAATAAAACCAGTTACGTTCCACGCTGAAAGAGGAGCACAAACTTTCGACTGTTAACGCCTTCTTCATCTGAGAGCTCACATTGCAGCCAACTAACCTAATGCTAGAACAATATATTTTTATTTTAAACTTCTTCTAACGTATTAAATATGTTTTGCATTTTTTTCCGCCGGCGCTTGATCTCGGAAGATAAATTGTGCATTACAATTTTAATCATTATTAAGCAGACGTTGAATCGTTTTCATTTCAGCAATGGGTATGGAGGAGTTCCACTGACTTGTAAGCTTCCAGATGTTCAAATAGAATCGTTGACGACCCTTTGATTTAAGCCTGGAGTTCAAATAAGGAACAATGTCCGAGCTGGGGGAGTTCCGCTGTCAGAACTGCAACATGGTTTTCCGTTCGCCAGGCCTGCTGGAAAAACACAGGAAACATTTTTGCATCGGCAGCGATATCGGGGACCCCTTTCTCTTACACCGCAGATACGCGGAATCCCTGGAGAAGGACGAGAGAAACAGATACTCCTGGAGAGGAAGGGAGCCCCTCAGGACACAGACCCCAGACTTCATAAGGGTAAACCTAACGGATGTGTAGAACAGGTGTCTAGGTGGTCTCGGGCTGGACACTTTTTCTTAACCAAAACGAAAAGTGTTCTCGTTTCCTGTTTCCCCGGCGTTTCCAAGTCTGTACGGAGACTGTTTAAAATCTCCACGATCAATGAGACCAGTTCCTTTTACACCTACTTGCAAAGACACTTTTACCTTCTACATTTCAGATCTGTGAATTTCACTTTAAAGTTGTTAAAGGATCATTTTCCTTATACAAAATTAGATAATTTATTTTCTTTTAGCTATATTAAGGGACAGTGAAAGTTTTCTATGTCTTTGTTACCCTGTTTTGGACAGCTATGGGGTGGGAGCCTATGTACCAAGCCAAGCCAGGTGTGTTGTAATCTCCTTGGTAACAGCCATTAGCACAGGTTGTTGGGTGTCTGCAGTTGTAAACCTTGTGCCATGGCAGGCAGCATTGATAAGATTGAGATCATGAGAGATGTATAATCAGATTTGCCTCTCACCTAACCTCACAAC